CCCAGCAGCCTCTAGATGGTATGATTCGTATGCGTAAATGCAGTCACCTTAACCCCACACTCTCCACTGAGACCACTGAGATGTGGTTGCATAAGAAGCGCAGTAATAGTATTAGCATACAAGTTGTAATGGAGTAACAGTTCACAGGTATAACTTTAAATCAGGTGCACAAGAATAATTGCTGACACTCTCTATAGATCAGCCTTTAGGGCAGAGTACTTGCAGTTAAAGATGGGTTAATAGTCCAGTAGCTGGTCCGGGGCTGCTATTTGAAGTCCTGGCAGTTCCATGGAGAGATCCCAGAGGCAAGCCCAATGAGGAGTCAGAGGAGAGAAGGGAAGGATCCCTGTGGAGCACCCGAGGGTAAGAGGAGGGTGTTCGGGTGAGGTGAGTAGCAGGCTCTCGTCACTGCTGATGGTTCACGGGTCCTTCGCTATCAGGCAAGTTGTACTGGCTCGACATTCGCAACACTAGAACGCCGAGCCATTGCAACTCGCGTCATTATGAGGAGGAGGATCCCAGAGGGGGAGGAGCCGAGCGCGCCGTGCGTCGCCTCGGTCTCCTCGTGACGTCACGCCGCTGGGTGAAGATGCCGGCCCGCGGCCCCAAGCGCCGGACACGGGATACCCTATTACAATCACATAGTAACTGGATTTGAGACCTGTTTAGACTGCCACACAGGAGCTATAAGATGTACTTTAAAGTGTACATATAGCCAATTCATTTTGAATAGTAGAGAAGGGTTAAAAAGCATGCCAGTTTATTTTTTGCTTGTCTGTGTGCTATTGGCGAATTATCCCTTCGCCTCCTGTCCCAAAGACACACAGGTAGTCAGAGGATATTTCCAGAAAGAAAACTCACATCTTTAGACAGTTGTCCCCATTGGAAGATTTTTCCTAACCTCTTGATCTGGTGACAATTCTAAAAATTTCGATTTCCCCCGACTTTTTTTTCTCAGGAACAATAGGGGCCATTTCAAATAGAGGGGTGACTCTCCCCAATGGGGACAAAAAGCAGTAATAAAAATATTGCAGAGGGTGTAACTCTATACGGACAGGGGAAGGGGGGGTGTATTCCAGAGATATGCTTTAATTATCATAGTTCATAATCAAAGCAATATTCCTTCAAAACAAGCTACATGTGCCATAAACATTTCTGTCCTACGTTGTGCAATACTTAATTTTAGCTTTTATTGGAAGGCAAGTTTTAATAGTTAACTGGACCCAGCATCAGATACCAAGTACTACAAGTGTTATGGGGGAAGGAAATACCTGTACTTTATACTGCCATACATATCTTTATCCAAATGAAAGATGATATAATTATATTATACCTTACACGTATTTGGTTTCTAAGCACTAGACCAATTATCAAACTGATTGTCCATAGTCAACTGCCTGCTATAATATTTCTATAATGTTTCTGTTGAAGCCGTATCCTAAACACTTTTCTAATGTTTATGATATGTAATAAGAAAGCTAAACTTTTATTCCGCATTTTTAAACATACATACAGCTGGCTTAAGTGAACTTTTACAATCCTAAATTGATGAAAATTGTGCTCTAAATATTTTTGCAGGTTACAGCCCAGTTTACATATGTGTATTCCAACGGTTTAATTAGCTGTTTGCCTGCTACTGCTGAACTCCAGGCAAACAAATATATACACAGTGGAAAAAATGCGTTACCTCTTTTATATACTAAAGAATTCATAATTCTCTGTCAGCCAGTTTTTCATCTAGACACCCCGACCAGTTTGGAATCCTTACTTTTCTCTGCTGTGCATAAGCTTTGGCCACCAACCTGCGCCTGCACATTGATAAGGTCACCATTATTTTCTCCCTTACTGTCCGCACAAACTGTTTGCTGATAGAACAGTGCAAAGCAATAGAACTGTTAAAGGCCCAGACTGCTGACCCTACCCTCTCCCTGCAACCAGGGTGAACGTGGCTTTGCATTGCTGTTACAGGAGGCTGATATTAAGATTCACATATCTATAATAGTTCTATGTAAAACATTGTTGAATAGTGTTGCTACTAACCACATACCTGAATTAAATGATGTTTATTTATGACTCTGGAGTTCACCTTCAGGCTGGAATAACATCTGTTTGACTGAAATCAATGGAAATGTGTCACAAAGGCATGTCAACATGCGATAAAATGAGTATTAATGCACATCCAGGCACATCATGAGACACGTTAATGTACATCAATGCACGTCAACACATATTGATGTGAAGTGCAAAGCATGTTTAAGATCATGGCAACATGCATTGATGTTTGTTTTTTTAATGCATCTTTATTCAATTTAATGGAAGATATGTCAAGAACAAATGCACCAAAGGTGTCTGTAAATGTGCCCTAAAATATAACTAAAGTCTTTTGTTGGAAATGGTAAATAAAAGTAATTCACCCGCACACACTTGAAGGGTTTTTGAAGTATTGATATGCTTATTCAATACCCAATGTCACATACTGTCATACGGTGCTAACGCTTCGGGTCCGCACAGGGATCCTTCATCAGAGCGACAGTGACAACACTTTAAAAACCCTTCAAGTGTGTGCCGGTGATTTACTTTTATTTACTATTAGTGTTTTGCACGGCGCCATCCGTGTGGTCACCTTGGCACCACATATACCTTGTGGTTTTGAGACCGTGGCAGTGCAAATGGGATTTTGACTTTGTTTTGTTGGAAATGGACATTGCCAAAAAACTCTTTTACCTGTTTGCTATCAAATGTTTTATTTGTACAATGAGTTTGGTGCATGCACAATGCAGTGAGCATAGTCATTATCTGTAACATGCTGACAGTAGGAACGGGGTTCTGCGATACATCAGCAGCGGAGAGGGAACGTTTATAGATCAAAAGAAAAGAAAATTGCAATGGGCAAAGTAATCAGCCAAGTAGACTTTCCTCCAACCTGAACACCTCTTCCACCTATAAGCCCCAATGAGCCCCTTTTGGCCACTGTACCACAGCACATGCATTTTGTCCAATTGTCCACTGCTTAGTTTGCTGGTTCCTTTAAGCATCACTACTCAGATTTGTGTCTATGAGAAAATCTGCTGAAGAAACGGGTCTAATAGCTGGATTTACTGGTTTTTAACCATCTGTACCTAATCTCTAGATCTAGCTTTTGAAACTGCTGATAAGTACGCCCACATCTTGAAAATGAAAACAAGGGCATCACTGCATGTAAAATACATGAGCTTGCATTAATCAGAAGCATACCGTACACCATATGTTGCCCTTTTCCTTTGTACAGTATAAGTGTGGCTCCAGACTTTGTGCTGAGTCACGCATTCCCTTAATAAAACTCTAGGCTCCGGCATCACCACTTCAGCAAGCATGGGATCATTCTCAAGGTTGGAATAAACATGAGGCTGCCAGGATAAATCACAAGCAAATCCCAGTAAAACAAAGACCTTCCTCTACGCCCACAATAAGATGTTAAACGTTAGTGGTTCTTTGCATAAGGCATGCAAATCTGAGGCCCACACTCAACTAAAGAAGAAGCCCAATAAATAGATTTTGGTGGAGCTAAGGGAGGTCGGTTTTGTATGCAAAATGCAATGACCCTATTTGCCAGTCTGTTGGTTTAATAGCCATAGCTGTTCACATCTGTCTCGATCTTAGACTCGATCTTCTAATCATGGAATGAAAAGTACACCAGAGATTGTCTATAGCACCTCACTAAAGGTTTGTCAAGATGTCTGGAGATTTGGTGTCTCTGGGCAAGAAAAGTGGACTTTGGAATACCATAACGGAAAGACTTTGCATGTAGATGAGATGGAGAGGTCTAGTGGAGTGGCAATGCACTATTGTAACTTTTATAGACCTGGCGCTAGATGTAGCTCATGCTGATGTTTCCTAATGTTTCCCTGCCGCACTGTGATTAGAATCCAGGGGCCTCTATGCATTGGTTTGGCACAAGGGCCCATTTCACATTTGAGCATTTGTACAGACATTTTTGCATGTTTTTGCAAGCGTTTTAGGCTTGAGTGTCATTTTAACATAATTTTTAGCCAATGAATAGCCAGTTACTGGGCACCACAACATGTGAAAAATGTGCATTATATATGTGTTTTTTAGGCACTCCCATTGAAGTCTATTAGGGCACAACTAATTTCCTTTTCCCAATACATTTATTTTGCTACAAGCGACAGAACACTCAGTTGTGAACAGGGGCCATTGAAATCAATGGGATTCCTCCTGCTGACCGTTGAAGCGCTTAGGCATTCGAGATACAAAACATAGGTGTAAATGGGGCCTATGTGAGGATTTCTGATAGCATTCATTATGATAAGCCAGAAACTGCACAGCATTCTTCTCGTTTAATGACATGAGTTGTCCAAGCCAAAGCCCCACCAGCTTTGTGAAATACATGCCATCTTTACAATTCAAACAAAATGTACTTTGAAAGGTTATTAACCAGTATATCCTTTTTATAGAGACTTGCACATAGATTTCATGTAGGTTGTATGTTGATGCTTATTAAGAGTTGGGCTGAGGGGATTGGGGTTAAACAACATTGTACACATCTTTTATATGTAAAAAAAAAAAAGATGTATTCATTTATTTAATAGACTGGAAGATGGAATTCTATTTACAGCACACTGAAGTATTAACTTCAAGCTGAGTTAACAATCTTGCTGGGCTTTAAAATTAAAGAAAAATAGAAAGGCTGAAATATTTACTCCTCCCAGAGAAAATGAGTTCTTTCTAGTGCTTGTCATGCAACCATGAGCCTAGGTATGGTCTCTGTTAAAGGAGACAATTAGACGGATGATTATGCAATATGGAAAATAGGGTCAGGCACAGTTGGGTAATAACCTTATTCTTCTGTTGCAATAATTGGCATAAGTGAGTTTCAATGAGTTGTAGCCGGTCCAGTGCCATTCTGATCCAGTATCAGGACAATAATAGTGACTCCTTGTAGTTATTTTAATGTTCAAATTTAGGTAGTTGCTCCTGTAACACTTTCTCCTCTTTCTAAGGTAGACTCTGTGGTGGCTCCAGTCCCAGCTCTTCGCCTGCCGTATCATCTGAGGACGAAGAGGTACACCCTGACTCCAGGCCTGCTCAAATGGGACCATTTCAATCTGACATACAGGTACGTAACAGCAATCAGTTCACAGTCAAAATAGCACAGGGAACTGTTGTTTGCTAGCGATTTGTATTCCATTAAACCTAAGAAGCAGTCCGTAGACATGGAGGCTGCATTTATTTTAGTTGTTCATGATTTGTATCCCATTTATTTTCACCTGGTGCTTCTGACAGTAATATATTTCCTGTTCTAGGGTGACAATGCTCACTCATTCTACTGTATATATGGAGCAGCCGTTTCATCCTAGAAAAGAACTACAGAACACTTACTGAACAGATATAACAAAATGCTTTATCCACTTGCTGACGGAGGTGCTACACCCTCTTCCTGTCCAGGCCACTTTTCAGTATTCAGCGCTGCGGTACTTTGACTGACATTTATTCCGTCATGCAGCGCTGTACTGAAATTTTATACCATTTTTTGGGGTCAGATAGAGCTTTATTTTGGTGGTATTTAATCACCACTGGGGGTTTTATTTTTTTTACTATATAACAAAAAAAAAAAAATACTGAAAATTTAGAAAAAAACCTGTTTCTCAATAAACATTTATTATCACCCCAATTTTTTAGTAAAACATAAAAGTCAGGGTCACTTCAGGTAAATAGACACCAAACATGTCAAGCCTTAAAATAGCGCGCGCCCGCAAAATCGCTCAAAAAAACTACCACACCCAAAATTTACCATAGTTGACGCTTTAAAAGCTTTCACCGCTCATCAGTTGAGTCTTATCAGTGATTCATGGCCCTAAAATTATTGCTCTCACTCCGACATTAGTTGTTTTCGCACGTAGGTGCACCTGACGCATGTTTGCGTGTGTAAGTGGGGGCGGGGGGAGCTTTTACTTTTTTTGTGTGTTTTCTAATTTTCTTTATATTGCGATTGAATATTTTTAATGCTTCTTTAATTTTTTTTTTTACACTTAACTTCATTGCTATCATATAGGGGGCCAAGGGAGGGGGTGCACACCCGCACAAAATAAAAGCGATCCAGCGTCTCTATACATAGCCGCCAGAACGCTTATATTTAAACATCCATCGCCAGCTGTTTAAATTTTATGTAGTTTTCCCATTTGTGTGCGCTCGCCGCACACGAGTGGGGGTAGGGAAGGACATTTTAGAAACGCCCACCCGCATCTACCTCGCTCAATGGGAGGTGGTAAAATAGTGGATTTAACAGACCAAAAGGAAGCAAATAAGAGAAGTTAACAGTTCTCGTATACACACACTTTATAGGTACACTATAATGGATTTTGGTCGATTTTTATTTTGGGGGGGGGGGGGGTTTACATTTGTATGAATTTGTTTAAAAAATAAACACTCATACAGGGCGCATATGATACTCAGTTTGCAAAGCTTGCTGAGCTTTCTCATAGGGACACCCCAGTACTGCCTGCTTTTTCAAAGGGTCTGTAGACTGACTACAAGGATTCCATCTCTACTCATCTAAGCTAGCACTTTTTTTTAAAGCACTGTGCTTTACAAGTGTGTTGTATTTTTTTCTTAAAGAAGTATTGTGGCTATGGTATGGCCATAGTACTGCCTAAAGAAACACTGACCCGTAAGTAATGACATATACAATTGGGCTTCTTTAAAAAATGGAATACCTTCATCTCCTCTGTGGTTGCAAAAATTGCACCAAACAGACTGAACAAATGAACGTGCCATCTCCAATTGTGCCTCTAAAACCACTCGCCTTAACACATGGACTTTATATTTTTCTTTACTTGTCTTCAGACACCCTCTTTAAATCCCTTAAACTATCCTAGAGAACCGTCAAAACTGCCACATACCATGAGATGATGCTCCAGAACTATCACCGCTCTCACATTTCTCTGCATCAATCCTTTCTAATGGCCCTTTATTCCTCTGCCCACTGTTTAAAAATTGTGCAACCTGATCCAGACCTTTTCAATGCTCTCTGATCATGTCCCAAGATCAAACAATCCTAGAATATAGCAAACAAGAACCTAGTCAACTCCCAGATGGTCCTTGTTTGGTATAATAATAAATATCACTGGCACTGGAATTTGCAAATGCTGCCAGCAGCTCCTTAATATCTCTCTAGTGGCCAAAAATACGATCTTACATAAATCGACTTATCCAGACCCTCCATTCATCTCAATGTTCTTAGAAAACTGGCCTTTGCTTACCATATGGAGTGGATGAAGGCTTCTCTAAACAAAGATAACCAGGTCCAGAAATGTTCCAAAACCTGGGAATCCTTTATCCACACCTTCACCAATGAAACCAAACAATTGTTAGCCGAATGCTTTCATTACACTCAATGGTATCCAATCAGGCTGACTGCAAACAACCCCCCAATTGATGTTAAACCAGCAGCACGAAATCCCAAACCTCTCTGAGTGGGGCCTCTACCTCTTCCTGAGGAATTGGCTATATAACTGGCCACCACCCATTAGATCAGATTTGAGTTTATGTCTATCAAATTGAAGCTTTATGACATTTGACTGGCTATTATGGTTAAATGAATGTTGATTACCATCATTGCTCATTGCAGTGAGCACCATTGCTCAGTAAAGCAGTGAATGTAAAGTGCAATAATAGCTAACAACCAATCAGAAATCAACATTTATGTGATAAAATTATATTGCATAGAAACCTGACCTTGTTTTATTGAGCACGCCAGAATATAATTGCACACAGGCAGATAATTTGGTCATGCCTGACATTAAGCACCGTGTGTAAAATATCCTCCCTGTTGGGAATATTTGGAGTGTGCTGTACATCTGGGGAGTGATAACAGCTGGGGTGAATCACAACAGATGCTGCAGGATAATTGTAACATCCAATGTAAATATTCCACATTGGAGACTCCACTTAAGGTAACATGTTAGCTGAGTGGCATTAAAAGAGAACTATGGAGTAACCTTTTTATCCCATACTTCATAGGAGGACATATACTAACGTCCTCCCGTGACCCAAAGCTCAGTATATAGCGGGCTACTGCACGCTATATACCGAGAGCGCTGCAGCTGGGATGGATCCCACCAATACTGTCAAGATCCACCCAGCTGGCTGATTGACAGAGGGCTCTGTATATCTGGAGGCAGAGCCAGCTGTGCCCACCCCTACCCCATCCGTTCCTCCAGTCAGCGTTGGAGGATCAGAGAGGGGAGAAGGGGGGAATCCCTGCAGGGAGCGGTGACTGACAGTCACCGCTCTCTGCAGGGAAATTATCTGGAAGTATGAGTTTCCCGATCTATAGAGTCCTCGTGTGACAGTTTCATTGTCACACATCGGCTATAACGATGAGGATGAGTGTAAATCACTCACCTCATAGTTCTCCATTAAATGTAGATTACAATTTCTACATGGAATAACTCCATTGGTGCCTGGTAAAATAAGCCTAAGTGATTTTTAATTTACATCCCCACACTTTATAACCAAGAGCTGGTAACATTCTGTTTGTAAAATACTCTATCAGTGTTAGGGAATACAGAGGTGTTATCTACCTGCCCCCACCCGCATGCAACAGTGCTTGGGCTTGGCAATTAACCCAAAAGGTCCATGACTGCACAGCCCTGACTCAGACTGTCCTTTTTTCAGTATCATTGTTTTTGTTCCTTGCAGAATTGTCTCATTTCCAAGAAACCTAATTAATGAGAGTGAAACAAGGAGGGGTATATCATTGGCTTTCCGTATGTGGAGTGATACGACTCCCTTCCACTTCAAAGAAGTCCATGCAGATGAAGAAAGCGATCTGAAGATTGGTGAGTTACCACTGGAGGGGTCAGAATGAGGTTGGTGCCACGAATCAGGCCTGTGGTTTTGCAGGCCCCGATTAAGGATTGTTGAGAGCATATGATTGCTGGTGACTATAGTGGCTTAGCTAGCAGGGCAGCGAGTTGCAGATGCTCAATATCCAGTATATGAGCTAGAGACACCCAGACTGCCAATGGAAAGAATGAAGTGACAAAAGGCTGCTGTCCCATCCAGAAACACTGCAAAATGATGCTGAATCAATGTGAAAGTGTTTTAGGTGTGTGGCAGGTTCTCTTCAAGCAAAGAAAGCTACAAGGAGGTATAAGATAAAATGACATACCAGGAGTTTGTTGTTAATATCAAACTGCCCATTTAGTTGCTTTGTGTGAATCTTCTAAAACTATAAAAAAGGTACAATTAGAATTGTAAGAATTAATTACCAAATGATCTGCCACAAAGATGGACAAGTCATCCTAAGCATATGATGAAAAATGCATAAGCAAGGTAACCTCTGCTGTTCAGTTTGTCATCATTTGCTCAGTTTCAATTGCCTGGGTTGTCAACAAGTTCTCAACATTGCAACAAGTTCTCTTTAGCACATGACCTTTTGCTGGTTCCCAACATGTGGAGTTGGGAAACTATTCATCTTTTACTTTGAGAAGAAAAAAAACATACCACAGCAGAGATATTCAACCTTTTCCTGGAAATTCTTATATAAGCTCATACTACACTTTACTAGTAAAAAGTAGAATTTGATTGAGCAACAGAATCAATTATTGAGCAAGATATTGATGAGGTCTAATTGCTTTCCTCATACCAGGTTTCTACGGTATAAATCACACGGACTGCCTGGAGTCAAGCATCCACTACTGCTTTGATGGGACAACTGGGGAGTTAGCGCATGCCTACTTTCCAAAGACTGGGGAAATTCACTTTGATGACAGTGAATACTGGATTGTGGGAAACACCCGGTTTAGCTGGAAGAAAGGTATGAGCTCAGCCTAATTGAGAAATTCACTTTATCCATTCCTGACCTAAAGGATGTTTCCCATGTGTCGTTCCTTTACCTGAATGCATGATTTTGATATTACCTGAATCGACTGTGTATGTACACTATATTGCCAAAAATATTGGGACACCCCTCCAAATCATTGGATTCAGGTATTCCATGAAATTTCCTTGCTACTAAATATTCTACGGTCAACTGTCAGTGGTATTATAACAAAGTGGAAGCAACTGGGAACAACAGCAACTCAGCCACGAAAAATTACAGAGCAGGGTCAGCGCATAGTGCGCAGAAGTCGCCAACTGGCTGCAGAGTCAATAGCTACAGACCTCCAAACTTCGTGTGGCCTTCAGACTGGCACAACAACAGTGCGTAGAGAGCTTCATGGAATGGGTTTCCATGGCCGAGCAGCTGCATCCAAGCCTTACATCACCAAGTGCAATGCAAAGCGTGGGATGCAGTGGTATAAAGCACGCCGCCACTGGACTCTAGAGAAGTGGAAACGTGTTCTCTGCAGTGACCAATCACGCTTCTCTATCTGGCAATCCGATGGACGTGTCTGGGTTTGGCGGTTTACCAGGAGAACGGTACTTGCCTGACTCCAAGTGTAAAGTTTGGTGGAGGGGGGATTATGGTGTGGGGTTGTATTTCAGGGGTTGGGCCCCTTAGTTCCAGTGAAGGGAACTCTTAAGGTATCAGCATACCAAGACATTTTGGACAATTTCATGCTCCCAACTTTGTGGGAACAGTTTGGGGATGGCCCCTTCCTGTTCCAACATGACTGGGCACCAGTGCACAAAGCAAGGTCCATAAAGACATGGATGAGCGAGTTTGGGGTGGAGGAACTTGACTGGCCTGCACAGACTCCTGACCTCAACCCGATAGAACACATTTGGGATAAATTAGAGCGGAGACTGCGAAGCCTGGCCTTCTCGTCCAACATGAGTACCTGACCTCACAAATGCACTTCTGGAAAAATGGTCAAACATTCCAATAGACACTCTCCTAAACCTTGTGGACGCCTTCCCAGAAGAGTTGAAGCTGTTATAGCTGCAAAGGGTGGGCCAACGCAATATTGAACCCTACGGACTAAGACTGGGATGCCATTAAAGTTCATGGCATCCCAGTCTTAGTAAAGGCAAGCGTCCCAATACTTCTGGTAATATAGTGTATTTCTTGAAAGGATGGCCATTTTGGCCGAAAAGATCAGGACTGTTTAAATTAAAACATTGTTCACAAGTCTGGTGAGCACCATCTTATGTCTACAGGTAGCCAGTGCTTGTTTATTATCTTGTTTATTACTTAGGCCCATTGGGGTTACCAACATCAGCCAAGCTGGTTTCCCTAGCTTTGCAAAATATACCATACCCACTTTAAAGAGTAACATCCAGATTGAGGGTCCCTAGAGACTACAGAAGGAGTACAGAAAAATTGGCAGTGAAGAGAGAAATAATTGTAACCAGGTCACCTACAGACCACACCGAGGGAACACCAAGCTACATGGTAGACACCCTGGAGGGACCTTTTTATTTTTGCTCCCTATGTGATCGTTATAATGTGGCGTTTCAGACTTGGAAATTAATTGGAGACTAGAAATGATAACTCAATATATAAAAACTGAAGCAAACAGAAGGAAGGTCATAATAAAGCACCGTTGGGTCCTGGGTTAGTATGAATAGACATGATGAGAACAAGGTGGCAGAGAGACTAGTACAGTCACACTCACGTAATATGAAAAGTAGGTCAGATATGCACAGGATGTTTACAAGAGAAAGAATAAGGCTTTTTTTGGAATCATCACCGTTCTTTGTGGTTTTACTTGCTAGAATACCTAGAATTTCCTATTGTGAAATCTGGATTGCGTGATCACAGATCCAGATGTTATCTAAAGCAGTTTGCTCCAAATGTCCTGGATGCTTGCATGCCCTGTTGGCATTGATGTGCAGAATACATTGTTAAAAGGAATAGCCAGAAAGCTGAGGCACATTGACAATATGCTCATCTGCTATCCATGTTAAAAAAAAAACATGGCCAATTTTATTGAAGGTGTAAATATATTTTACGTGTTTGGGCCAGGTTTTGTATTACAACATTGAAACACATAATGCTGGATGGAGGGCACATTATTGGAGTTTAATAGGCTCTATGCCATATTTCAGTTACCTAGGTCGATGTTCTTATGATATCTGCAAAATATGGCACACGATTCGGGCCCTGTTCTCCATTCAATAACATTAGCATCTGGCACAACTGAAAACTTCCTAATCACAGATAGGCTTGACAAACCATTCCCTTCTTTATGTATGAAGCTGCCATAGAGCATTATGGCATAGCCGACCTGACTTGATGGACTGTCTTCTCATATCTACAGGCTGCTTAAAATAACAGTTTCTTGCTAGCCCACCCTCCGACTTACTTAAATTCACCTTTCAAGAGCTTCTTCAATAGCTGCTGCTGCAAAATACCCCGTGTAAGCAGGTAGTGGGACAGGTAAGTATTAGAGTTTCTTTTCCAGGCAGCATTGTTTTCTTATTTTTGTGTCCCTGTGAAAGGGTCGCTTTAACCCCAAATGTTCCACTGTTTGGCCAGGCTTAATTATAGCTGAAGCATTGAAGATGTGGAGTAACCTAGGTGTGTCTCTCTAGGAGTGTGGCTGACAGATCTGGTACATGTAGGAGCACATGAGATCGGACACTCTCTGGGACTCATGCACTCTCTGAACAGAGACGCTCTGATGCATATTAATGCCACACTGACTGGGAAGAAGATCATCTCCCAAGATGACATGTGGGGGATCTACAGCCTATATGGTAGGTAGAAATAATACCTATTTTCTTCTATACACTTAGGGGTATGTTTTATAAAGCAATTAATGTGAAATTCACCAAACATTCACTGCAGGTGTCTTAAATGACAGTGATTAACCTTCAGTGACTGTTTGGTGAACGTCACAATCCTTGCTTTATAAATTTAGTTCAGAAGTTTGCTGTATTTGGATATCAGCACTGTAGTTATATTTTCGTCCTGGATCCTACTTTTCTTTTATTCTTGTGATTTTTGTATTTCATTCCCTCTTTCATACATTTTTCCTCTCAAATTCTTAGCCCTAGTCTTTTTCTTTTCCTCCACCATATATTCTTCCTAACTGTACATGTGTATTTTTTAACACATCACAATCTACCAATCTTGACACATTAATACTTGAACTCTGGTCATGTACAAAAGACTACCATTTAAAAGGAGAACTATGAGGTGAGTGCTTTTCACTCATTCTCATATTTCTAGCCGACCTGTGACAACGAAACTGTCACAGGTCGGCTCAGTAGATCGGGGGGTGAAACTGTCCCTCCCCTGTCACAGAGCCGTGACAGGGGAGGGACTGGATTCCCCCCCCCCCC